TTATATAAACAATGAAACAAATACGTTCCGCTGATTAATGTACTCCGTTTTTAAATATCGGGTTTATTGTTTCAGTGGCCGGCTTTAGTAGCTCTGTGTCTAGTTTAATATTTGAAGGATATAACTATTGAAGAGACTTATACAATGTTTTAAAAATTGATAAAAATAGTATCTCCATGAAAATTTGCCTTGCATGGATTGATGCTAAAATACGATTGCATGCAAGTTTGTTCTGTTTAGATTACTAAGAACAACATTTCATTGTATAAAAAATTTATATTATCATTATTATAACCAGGCCTATTCTGAATAGCATGGGAATGGGAGTTTGTTCCCTGTTCCCAAGTTTGCTATTTTGAATAAATTGGGAATGGGAGTTTTGTTCCCTGTTCCCAATTTTGCTATTCTGAATCGCATGGAAATGGGAGTTTTTTCCCAATTTTGCACAAATTCTTTCCCAAGCAAATTGTTGGGGAGACGAGTTGAAAAAGTATTAAAAATGGTTTAATTTAATATAAAAGTAACGGAAAATGATCAGATTTTTGAATATATTTTAATAAAATTATTATTATAATAAAATTATTACAACAAATTCAATATTTTCAAAGTTTTATTTTTTTATTTTATCCACAAGAGTTGATTAGTTTTCCGAATATATTCAGGCCTATTGTGAATCGCATGGGAATGGGAGTTTGTTCCCTGTTCCCAATTCTCCTATTTTGAATAAATTGGGAATGGGAGTTTTGTTCCCTGTTCCCAATTCTCCTATTCTCCTATTCTGAATCGCATGGGAATGGGAGTTTTTTCCCAATTTTGCACAAATTCTTTCCCAAGCAAATTGTTGGGGAGACGAGTTAAAAAAGTATTAAAAATGGTTAAATTTAATATAAAAGTAACGGAAAATGATCAGATTTTTGAATATATTTTAATAAAATTATTATTATAATAAAATTATTACAATAAATTTAATATTTTCAAAGTTTTATTTTTTTATTTTATCCACAAGAGTTGATTGGTTTTCCGAATATATTTTAAGAAATTTATTTTAATAAATTTAATATAACTAAATTTTCATTTAATACATTTTATTAAAATTATTATTTTAATAAAAGTATAACAAATTTGAAATATTTAAATTTTTATTTATTTATTTTATTTACACGGGCTTTTTCCACTAATTAAAGTGTTAACTATTGTTTTTAAAACAATAGAAAAATGAAAGGAAACCAAATTCTGAAATGAATGGGATTCCTAGAATAAGTTAAAATAAACTTTTGCAATTATGTGTAGGTAAAACATTGCTTCGTTTTTATTGTAACATCTGCACAATCATAAACTATTATTAGTTCATTAATTGAAGCATGAAGGACATTTCTATCCTAATTATGTAAAAAAAATTAAATTATAATTTACGCAAATTTTGTATAAAAGCAGTGAATGTTTGAAAATAAAGACATTGAAGAATTGATATCATAACGTAAGGTTGTTTTTTAATTAGTTAATAAAGAGTTAAAAATTTAGAAAAGAGTTAAATTTAACATGTAAGTTTCTGCGATTGATGCTCTGTTGCAAAATTTCTTGCTCCTGTTCTTGAGCCAAATCCTCCGCTGAAACTCGAAATGCAATTGAATGCATTTTTGAAAACTTTTTTAAAATTTTTTATTTAAATAATCATTAACAACTGCACAATTCTTGTTTATTTTGCTCATGCACAGTTCTTTTTATATATTTATTTTACTCATTAAAATAAAAGTTTTTTATTATTTATTATTTTATTATTTATTATTTACTCATAAAATAACTTATATTTATTTCCGATAATTTGTGCAACAAACAAATAATGCGATTTTTACATTTAAATCAACATATGATACGCAATTCTTTTCTTTGTTTTGCTCATTTTTGCACTTTTCGTCATTAAAAAGTGGCATGGTTGCCAAAATTTAACAAAACAAATTTGAAACTGTTGTTGTTCCTAAAACTGCTGTCTCCCAAGCAATTCAGAATAAGGGAGTTGTGTGTTTGGAAACAGCGTGGGAATAGGGAGTTTTGTTCCCTGGGAGTATTCAGAATGGGCCTGTGTATTTCCTCTAAGATATTATTGTTGACAAATAGGCAATCGTGATTGATGGTATTTATGTGCATTGTTTTGGTCTTCATTACGTTAATGTTCAGGCCGACTTTACTCGATTCATTATTTAGATTTCTAATGTTTAAACTGTAATTAATATCACGTACTTTTTTATTCAGTGCCTCAAAATTGTGTTGAGAATGATGATAAACAACATAAGTGATAATATGCCGTCAGGGTTGCGCTTGTTGACTGAAAACTATCGCTGAGTTTACCATGTAAAACTCTGCATCTTATTCTTCTGTTATTTTTTAGGATTCTGACAATTTTTGACAGTATAATCCTTGCGCGAAGCGCCAACCATATGTAGTCTCTTTTGAGCGCATCAAACGCTTTCTCGTAATCGATAAATGTAAGATACAGTGTTCAGTTAAATTCCGCTGCCAGCTCCAAAAATATGCACCGTGTTAATTTGATCCGTGCATGACATTCCAGGTCGAAAGCCGGCCTGGGAATTATATATAGTACTATTTAATGTCATAGCTATTCTCTCCAAGATAATCTTGTTGAAAATTTTTATTACTATTGGCAGCACTGATATTCCCCTCCAATTACTGCGCTACTTTTTATCACTCTTCTTAGGCAGCTTCACTACAAATGATATTTCTATTTGGTTGAAAAACATTTCTCTACCCAAATCTTTTCGAAAAGTGGTTGGAGGATTCTAGCCATAGTAGCAGCGTCTACTTTAAAACATTTTGGAGGAAGTTCATCGCCTCCTGCTGCTTTACTATTCTTCAGTGATACGATAGTTTCTTTAATTTCTGCTATTAATGGAGTTATGGTGCTTATTCCTCGATAAGGGTTAAGCCGCCTACATATTACAAATTCATCGGCTTTGCTATGCATTGTAATCGGAGTTCGTTCAAAATGTCTCCTCCATACACTGCTTTGTTCATCTTTTGCGATTACCACCACGCCATTTTCATCTTTGGCAGGGGAATTTCGAACATAATTACCGGCAAAGATTCTTGCTACGTTATAGAGTTCCTTCAAGGCTCTTTTTGAGCCGCTACCTATGTTACATTGTATAGGGTTTCTTTGTCGCTTTTAAAGCTACGTTTAATTTCTTTACTAAGCCTTTTGTATTCGTTATTTAGCAAGGTTTTTCTTCCCGCTACTTGTTCAGTCAAAATTTGTCCTTTCATTTCCCTCCTATCTTCAATTAATGTCTACGTTTCGATAGACAACCACTCCTTGTGTATTCCATTTCGGAAGCCCAGATTTTTTTCACATATGCCTTGCAGCTGATTCCTTATATTACTCCAAATATCTTCAATATTCATGTCATCGTTAGTGCTAATTCCACTTAACTCTGAAATAAAACGATTTTGAATATTTTGGGCCTTAAGTTTTTCTGTATTGAAAGCTTTTCTATTTGGCTGAGTTTTATGCCGATAATATCTTCTTCTTCTTTATTTACCAATTCGATTTCGAATATTGGTGATCATGTAACATAACATAATACTATATTGATTAATTATAACATAATAATAATTATAACATAATAACATAACATAATACTATATTGTTTGATTAGTTTTTAATAAACACAATTACAAATTTTTAAATATTTCTGCGTATTGGTCTCTGCATCTCGCTATATTTATAAGGCTGCCAACCTCTTGTATTTGAGTCCATTGACGAATGTTTCGCAGCCATGAAAATTGTTTTCTACCAATACCGCGTTTGCGTTCGATTTTTTCTTGAATAATCATTTGGAGTAGCTCATATTTTAAATTTCGCATAATATGTCCCAAGTAAGCTGTTTTTCTTCTTTTTATAATTGTTAACAATTCGCGATCACACCTCATTCTTCGTAACATTTCATTATTTGTAACATGATCTGTCCATGGAATTTTGAGAATTCTCCGATACATCGATAACTCCAATGCTTCGAGTTTGTTAATATCAACAATTTTCCAAGTTCAGGTTTCCATGGCATATAGAAGTATAGACCAGACATAGCATTTTACAAAACGGATTTTAGTTTTAATATTGAGATCATGACTATTAAGCACTTTTTGGTATCTAAGAAAAGTATTTCGTGCTATTTTTATTCGGCATTTGATCTCTTTGGAACAATTCCAATTTTCATTTACATAGCATCCAAGATATTTAAAATGCTGTACTCTTTCTATACCAACATTATTAACCATTAAATTTGTGTTGCTATACATATTCTTTCGGCTTACAATCATATATTTTGTTTTATTTATATTTATTTTTAGTCCATATTGTTCGCTAGTGGTGTTAACCCTGTTTACTAGCTCTTGTAGGCCACTTAAACCGTCGGCAATAAGAACGGTGTCATCCGCGTATCTGATGTTATTAATGAAAACGCCGTTTACCTTCACACCTTGTTGAATATCGCTAATGGATTCTTCAAATATTTTTTCTGAATACACATTGAGTAACAGTGGCGACAATATGGAACCCTGTCTAACGCCTCTTGAAATGGATATCCCTTCTGTTATATCACCATCGATGTTTACATGCGCAGTTTGTTGCCAGTACAAATTTTTAATGCATCGGATTTCCTTGTCATCAATATCAATGTTTTGAAGAATTTCTATAAGTTTTCAAGCGTTGTCGAACGCTTTCTCGTAATCGATAAAACAGAGAAAAACGTCTTTGTGAACGTCTTTACAGTTTTGAACTAAAACTTGAATACATAATAGTGCTTCCCGAGTTTCAAGTCCTTCCTTAAAACCAAATTGTGATTTCCCCATCACTTCTTCGCATTTTTTGTATGTATATTCTGCCGTGTATAATTTTTAGAATAATTTTTACAGCATGTGACATAAGGCTGATAAGTCTGTATTCACTACATTTTTTTGCATTTTTCTTCTTAGGCAGTGTTAGAAAGGTAGATTTTACCCAGTCGTCGGGATAATGTCCAGTATCGTATACATGATTAAACAATTTTACTAATAGATTAGTATTTTCTTCATCAATTAATATCAAAATTTCAGATGGAATCTCGTTTGGGCCATTTGCCTTATTGTTTTTCATCGATTGTATAGGTTTTTTGACTTCGTCTTTAGTTATGTACATTCCAGTTGGCATACTTGTAAAATAAATATCATTATTTAGTCTAGTGCTATCAGAAAAAACGTTTTCAGTATATGTTTTCCAAATTCTTTTCTTTTCATTTATGTCAAAAACTATTTCATTGTCATCACTAATGAGAAATGAAGGAGAGTTTTTTCGATAAATTCCTACAGTCTGTTTTAGTTTTTTGTGTAGATTGAAGTTATCATGTAGTGATTGCAATCGTTCAATTTCTTGGCATTCATTATTTAACCAAACTGTTTTTGCTGTACGGATCTTACTTCTGATGTCTCTGTTTAATTGCCAATATAGATCTTGTTGTGTATTTTTATACTGACGACGTTCATTTATCAATTTCGCTATATCTTCGGTCATCCAATGATTTTTTATTTCTTTCCTATATGATCCAAGAATTTCTTTCGATGAAGATGTAATCGTTGTCTTGAGTTGCTCCCATGTATTATTTAGGTTCCTAGAATCAATACTACTAATGCTATGATTTATTTTATTTTTTAATGAACATTTTACCATATTTCATCATTTCGTAGTTTTTCTAAGTTGAGTTTAAGGCTTGGTTTCTTTTTGCGATTTGATGCTAATCTTATGCAAATTTTCGCCATTAGAAGATTATGATCAGATGGTACATCTGCCCCCGGGTAAGTTGTAACTTTCTTAACTGAAGAGCAAAAACGATCATTAATTAGGATGAAGTCTATTTGATTTCTGATAATGTTATCAGGAGTGTCAGATGGAGATTTCCATGTATATAGTCTACGAGGTGGTAGATTGAACATAGTATTTGAAATCTTTAATTTATATTCTTGACAGAATTGTATTAGTCGATCTCCTCTATCATTTCTTTCACCTAGTCCATACTGGCCCACAACTCCATGAACTTCTCTTCTTCCAACCTTTGCATTAAAGTCTCCTTGAATAATGTGTCACTTAGAATTTTAATTCAGCGATGATCATATAGTGGTCATTGTTTATTTTGGCACTTATTTTAGATCTGACATCACAAATATCTTACTTGAAGTGCAGATATTCCCAATTTGTGTTTCTATGTCACTTTTGGGTGCTTTCCAAGTTACTTTATGGTATTTTTTATAAAGAAAAATATAACCGCCAATTCTTAAGTTGTGATTAAGGCATAACTCTAAGAACAGCTAACCATTCTCGTTACATGTACGTATACCACCCATAAATTTCTCGTAGCCGGCCTTATTGTTGTCTATTTATGCATTGAAATGTCCTAATACCATAACAATTTTGCTTCGAGGTATTTCGAGCAACGTCTTTTCCATCATAGTAAAAAACTTTTTTTTTCATCGAGCGGTCTTTCCTCAGTTAGCGCATAGCACAGTATTACTGTTAAGTTACGTTTTTTACCTTTTATCTCAAAGTCATAATTCTTTTTGATATACTCTTTCAACTTATTACCATACTTTAGGCGTTTTGTAACATAAAATCTTACACCACGTATATGTGGATCTTCTTCGTTCGGCATGCCCGAATAAGTCATTAAACAACTATCTCGAAGTTCCATCTTACCTCGCTCAATCCGATAATATCTATTCTGAACCTGTAATTCAAAAGCAATGAGTGAGTGGTATATGGAGATAATACACTAAGCGAAGTAAAATACAATTTTATTTTAATAATAATAGTTTTAGTAATAATTTTTTATTATTACTAACAATTTACAATAATACTTTATGATGTCCGCGCGCTGTTAGTCAAACAAAGAATAAATGAATGGATTTGCATTACTGTTGAGCACGCCTTAAGTGTAGTTTTCAAAACGAGATATTTAAGTTTAAAAGTGGTTTTATGCTTGAAAGACTCGAGCGTCACAGGCTCTTAACTTCCTAGTTCCATGTTAGGGCTGCCACATTATATACATATAATAATGTTCGCTTAAAGGTATTTGAACCTACCGCCAAGCTTTTAGTAGTGACAGCATTTCCTCTAAGCAGCACATGTTACAGTTTAGTTGTCCCACTAAACACTTGGTCGACATATTCTCATCTGTGAAAACAGGGACCCCGCGAGAATGTGAGATTGTCATTAACGCCAGAGAGGCTAATTGAGACGCATCTAGAGCGTCTCATATGAGAATATGAAATGAAATGAAATAAGAATAATGTTTTCTTAAGTATAGGCCTGCTCAAAAAGTCTACATGAATATCATTTCAGTAGCTCTTCCAAATATTTTTCGCGTCCTTAAAAGGAGACAAACATTTTTCTTTCCTTTTGTAAATCATTGCCAAAAAATGATTTTAGAAGGATAAAGTTTTACACTGAAAAAAAGAACCAAAAAAAACTTATTTGATAATTTTTTTAACGTGAGTAAATCACTACTTGGACACAGCAGGGTTTCAGAGATCATATAAAATGTTTTATTGGGAATTTGTTTTCATTGTTGTCTAGTTTAATGTGAACTGTGCTAACTTCAGCGCCGTCTGTTATAAGAATGTTTACTTTAAAAGTAATTAATTAATTTAAAGTAAAAAGCAAAACCAACACAATTTTTTGGGCTCAACGTATAATCGGACAAAATTAAGCATCCGTCTTAAAAATGCAGAAATGTGGCATTTAAAATTTTGTTGCATATCCTTTGTTATCCAGAACGGCCTGAAGACGATTTGGAACTGATTGTACCAATTTTTGGCACACTTCTGGCTCAATTGAGTAACATGCTTCGAGAAAAGCTTCCTTTAGCTGTACTATTATGTTAAATTTTTTTGGTACACTCTCCTAGCTAATTCCTCCCAAAGATGCTCAATTATATTAAGGTCTGGGCTCTGTTCAGGTGTGTCTATGAGTTTGTGACAGTTATGGATCAACCAAAGCTTTGCTACGCCTGACGTATGCTTGGGATCGTTGTCCTAATAAAAAGCAAAATTTTCTGCGATACTCAATTTCTCTGCACTTTGCTTTACATGTTTCAGAATGTCGAGGTATACAAATTTGTCCATTCTACTATCTATAAAATGCGAATTACCTCCTCCCGCAGTCGACATACAACCTCAAACCATAACAGAGCCTCCTCCATGTTTTATTATGGTTTTTGTATTTTGATGATTGAATTCTCCATTTGGTTAACGCCATACAAATATCTTACCATCAGATCAATGCAGATTAAATTTACTTTCATCAGTGAACAAAACCTTAAAAAATGAAAATTATCAATGAAAGTGTATTTGAGAAGATTTACCATACATTTACCTGATTCCAAAAGCTTTCTGTTTTTAGTAAATATTCCTTAGCATATAAACTTCTTTCTGGCAATTCTTCCGTGATAATCAAATTTATGTAATGTATTGCGAGTAGTATTTAAGCATACATCTTTTCCAGAGCGGCATTTTAATGAAAATTTAAGGTCTTTTGCGGTTTTGAAAGGATTTTTCTTTATTTTTTTCCATATCGAACGCTCTTCTCGATCATTTAATATTTATACGTTGAGCTCAAAAAATTGTGTTGTTTTTGTTTTTTACTTTAAATTAATAGTTATTAGGAGAATTTTTTTATTTTTTTATAATTTAGATAGATAAGTATGTTAAGTATAAATTAAAGCAAAAAAAATCATATTTTTAGCATTTGCTTTTAAAGTTTAGAGCACATTTAAATCGAACAAATGCTTGTCCGATTATGCGATGGAGTCACTGTATATGGAAATGTAATAAATAATATTAATTCTCGATGTAAAGATATTTAATAAATTTATATATATTATTTGACATTTTGAAAATTATGTTAGGTGTGCTGTACACCTCCGTACTTTAGAACAGTCCTCACTGCTATATATATATATATATATATATATATATATATATTATAGCACTAGCAGCACATTGCATTAAAATGAACCATACTCCCAACTTCGATGATGTAAAAATTTTTCACCGGGAGAAAAATTACAAACGTAGAATGTTGCTACAAATGCTACATATAATTGACGTACCAGATGGTCAACAATTAAACCATAAGAGCGATAATGAAGGCTTAGCACAAATTTATAGATCACTAATCCAAAATTAATTGCTAAGTTTATATTTTATTTCTATTTGTATTTACATTTGTTTAAAAATTCGTGTTTCGTTTTACCTGAGACAACACTGGTTGCCATTCTTATTAAAAATTACGATTCCCTTTTTTCATACTTTTTTTTGTTTTATTATTTATGTGACTTTTGACATTTTAATATTATTTTTCTTTTTTTTATATTATTGTATTTGTATAATTTGTAGTAACACTGAAGATGGACTACGAAGTAGACCGAAATATTTGTTAATAAAATATATTACATAAATTAACCACTGTGATATTTTTATTTAATTTAAAGTGTGCTTTTTATATAATACGAGTTATTATATAAAAATATAAATTGAAAACCACGACCTAAAGCCCGGCACAATTTAAAATATAAATATTATCTAAATTCTAAATTTAATCAAAAAGATTAATCATCATATGATGAACAATGATAATTTGTGCTAAATGCATTCTCATTATTGCTACATGCATATCAACAAGAAGCTAAGTTAGCTTTCAATATCTTATTTATAAAAGAAACGATATTCTTAATTTATAATGCATTATTTTATTCATTTATTCGTTTTTAAATAATTACAAATTTAACATCACTCTAACAATAGTATTAATTCATTAATTTTCATAATTCGTTACAGATTTTCCTTAATTTAAATTTCACATTTTCTAATACTAAATTTAATGTTGTATATAATAGTTATGAGAAAAATAATTAATACTTAATAATTATTAATCTTTATTGTTGACATAATTGTTTGGGTTCATATTTTACTAATTTACTATTTCATAAATGTATATTATTTTTTATTTGGTATATTTTCATATTTTACTAATTTTTTGTTTAAAAATTTAATTAAATAAATTTGGCTTATTATTTATTCGTACATAATTTTTAATTAAACATAATTTATCAGCTTATTAAAGTATAAAATTGTCTTCTTTGTCTACATTTGTTTTTGATTTAACATCTTAGTTTTGAAATATATACAAAGTTGGTTGACTGCTATTTATTGTATGTGTGTCCTATGCAACAAAGTTACAGCAAAAGTGGAGAATAATTCTGATGATAAATATATTTGAATTGAGCTTATAAGGCTTTCGCAAAAGATATGGATGGTGCTTAAAATATTGTACTTATGGATATCGAAAAATAATAAAAATGGTTTAAGTGCCAAATTCTGCATTCGCAGCTCAGAACGCGTTATTTATTAGGCAAAAAGGTAGAATATCCGAAAAATATTAAACTGTTTGTGAGAACGAGTAGATACTTTGTACTGTAGAATTGAAACGGAATTGAAATTTATTTGTAAAATGTAAGTAAACAACAAATACTTTCCACTTTGGAAAGCAGTTGAGCAAGTATTAATATGGTGGATAACATTAGGTATTTAAATTTGGAAATATCTGCTTATTTGAATCTGTAAGTGGTACAAGTAGTGATAGTGAATCTATTTACGATATTTTGAATGAAATTTGCATTTTTTTTTTTTGAATTTTTAAACTATTAAAGAACTCTTTACACCTTTTGAATTTTTTAGGGCACCTTGCAAATCGTTAGGTTTTTCTCGTTTTTTAAACTTAGGAAGGTGCATTAATATTTTGTTACTAACCCTATATTTATTAATAAATAAAATAAATAAGATGATTAATAAGAAAAGCGTATTTGTTTATGAAAGCAAGGCATTAATTGTTAAAATTTTGGTTGTTTATGTTTTGTTCTAAACGCAAACGCTTAATTTAAAAATATACATATTATTAACATTGCTGTAAGATATGACGGAATGTTTTTATTGCAATAATTAGACACTGAAATAAAAATGAATTTCTTTAAAAATACCTATAATAAAATATTTTAACGTAACTCAAATTATGTATTGTTGAAATAGTCGGCTCATTCCACTGTAATTATAGTCGATAGAACTTTAATTTCAATCACTTAGAATATTATATAATGTTGATATTCAAATGTGAAAAACGAAAATTTTTAGTAGACACACGTACATACATATATATATATATATATATATATATATATATATTAATTTTTTTTTAAATAAATGGAATGTTTCTTGCTATATTTCTCATCAAATGTAGACAATGTATAATAATATATATTTATTTTTACTATACGCACGTGAAAACGGTAAAGTAATTTTTTTGTGTATGTTTTTATATTCTATCATATATTTCGAAAATTCTTGTGGAGTGTTTTTTTTTAAATGATGAAGTGTTATATACTATTTTATTTTATAATTTCAGAGCTAAAATTTAAAGTCTATATTTAATTTTTTTGTGGCTTATTAAATCTTAATACATCTTAATACATCGTTTAACAATATTTTCGTGTTTTAAATAAAATATCTTAATCTGACCACTATATTTTATTTGTATCTGCACAGCAGAAATAATTAATTTACGATTTAATAATTGAATTGAATTTTGTTAAAAATATTTGATTTGAGAGTAAAGACATTTTTTCACAGTTATGCATAAAAATGATTATTTGTATTGAATTATGTTTGAGCATTTATTGTAAGATAATTTTAATATTTTTATACAAAATTTTAGGTTTAATTGAAAATGTAATTACTTTTTAACTGTATTACGTATTTCTTGTTTGTGTTAAGGTATTTATTAAAAAGAGGATAAAAGATTCATTCAAAATAACAGAATGTTGAGTTAACATAATTTTTAAAACGTTATGTGGATTTTTATTGTTGGCAGACAATCTTAAGATATGTCAGCACTTATATAAGTAATTATTGAGAATCGTGTTTGTATTCATAAATTAAGGTAATATAAGAGTTCATTCTATTATAGTATTATTTTAACATTCGTTTTAAATTACTATATTCATTTTTACACGTTAAATACTTATAAAAAATAGTAAAGAAAAATTAAATTAACACATATTTACAACTTCGGTTTAATAATAAAGAGTACGTTTGATTTAAAATAAAAGTCTTTTATTCTAAACGGTAAATGCATAGACCTGAATTTTGTTCTTATATACGTTATTTTCTATCGGTTCAAGTTTTACTTTACTTATTATATATTTGCGATTTGATAAATATACTTTTTAATTTGTGTTTAATTTTATTTAAACTATTCTGTGTTTAAAACTTTAAATATAAATGTGTATCTTTTCATTTTGATTTGGTTTATTGACGTCACAAAAATTTTATTTCGCTTTTTGCTTCGGAGTTCATAATAATAATTTACAATAATTATATTTTATAAAATATATATATCTAACGTTAGAAGATGTTGAAAGAAATATATGTTTCCATTGCAATAAATTAAAATTATAATATAAATAATACATATTTTTGAAAGTTTACAAGTATAATTAACAGTGTACCACAAAATTTACATATCGCAATGTAAACAACATAACAAAATGTAGTTAAGAACATATATCGCAAACGATAAGGACAAAAAAGTAATATTTGGTGTCTTCTAATTGTGCGATTAAACGTGTAAAACAGAATTTTTGCGAAAATTTTTGTTATATTTACACCATATACCATAGGAAGCTTTTCTGCTGCTTCAATCCAAATTGTTTTAATTAAATTTTTTTGTTATTTCTTTGAACCACACTTAGGTTAAATTAGATTACTAATACTTATTGGTTTCATTTGTAATTATTATTATTGATTAGGGCACTCACGAAATCACTTGCACGGTTTGTTAAAATTTCTGTCGTTTAAATTAGCTGCTCTGTTGTTGTTGTTGTCGTTTTTATACAAATAAAAATGGTATAGAAATAAAGTGGAAAAATAAAATAATTGATTAAAATTTGTAGAAATTTGGCTTCAGTTTTCTGCAAACGTTATAACAAAAAGTCATAATAGTTATGATAATCCTCTTCTACACAGCAAATTATATAAAATGACAACCCTAAGGTACAACAGCTTAATCAACTCTCGAACTCTTGATCGAATTTAAACAATATTATACACTATTTTGTATATATTTTACATTCAGGAGATTTCGTAACTACCCTTAATAAATTTTATTTGCGTTTATTTGAAATCATAAAATAATTCAATTCTTATTTCTTTTCTTATTAAAACTGAATTCTTATGTGCATACAAATCGTAATTGTGTTTTTAAAAATCAATATGATAATATATTAAAAATATGCATTTACAATATACATATTGTATTAAAAAATATTTTCCTAACAGAAAAGCTTCTTCCGGTCAATATATGGTTGTTTTTGTCCTAAATTAGGGTTAACTTTATTTTTAACTTGTCGATTTTAACCTGCACTTCGATTATAATTGAATTGTTTTGTATATTTGATTTGTAAAAATGTATTTTTATGCACCTTTTTTAGTTTTCAAAAATTATTTACTTTATTTGCTACTACTACTACGATTTATATAAACGAGGGTTCATCGCTGCTCGCATTACAATCGAAATGATACAATTATTATTACAAAACCGCCGTTGCCGCTGCTTCTTTTTACCATTGTACTTGAGTTGTCAGTTATAATTTTATACATTACCATCTGTCAACCGAGCCTCCAAAAGAAGTGGAAAATTTTTATGACGTCTCTAAAAATCATACCTTAAATGTTTTTTCGCGTCTTTGTTGACGTGGTTGCACATTACCGTTTACTAACATATCATCACAAGCGTATGAGGAAATACGATGATCACTTCGAGATCGTTCTCGATCATGATGTGCACGCTCAATACGTGTATCATTGCTACCACTGCGATGTTTACTGTTTGCCGCATGTGATCTACGGTTACCCAATCTTTGCAGCTCATAGTCTCGTGAATCTGATACGTCAAAAGTCGCAGCTCGTTGATGTTTTCCTGATGTTGCAGAACGGGAAGATGTATGACGGTGTGATTGTTGTGATTGTTGTGGCTGTTGGGGCTGTTCGTATTGTTGTGGATAATACTCATCATATTCTTGTTCATCGCAAGTATTGCTTGTGAAAGTTGTTGCAGCATTAGATGTTTGTGTTGCGTAACGATGCTTTTTAGGGGGTAACGGTATAGGTGCTGTTGCCGATGTTGTTGCCGTTGCTGCGGTTGGTGCTGCTGATGTTGCAGGACAGGTAGTTCGTCTCACAACATCAACACCACCACCGCAGCAGGCACACTCCTACAATTCTGTTACAGAGTATAAGTCATTGTTTGCATGTGAACCTCCACGTTTAAGCGATCGATAATATACGTTCTGTTGAGCTTCAGTTAAATATTGCTGTTGTGGATGTTGTTGCTGTTTGCTGCTAGACGAATGATGATGGTAGTAATGTTGCTGCTGTTGTTGTTGCTGATGTGTATAATTTGTTTCATGCGAATGTTGTTTTTTTAAATTATTTCCAAATTGATCCATATACGCAAGACCACTACTAGGTCCGTTGTCAAGAGTTTCTGCACGTCTAGGTCGTTCATGGCGTTCGGCCCGTTCTCGCTCTCTTTCATAAGCTAATAATGCTGATTGCTGTTGACGTAAACTTGCTGATTTAGGTGGAAGTGTTTGTATGTTCATACCATTTGAAATTTCTCGTTGTGATTTGTGGCGATTCTTAGGCGGCAAAGATGGAGGTTGTTGCTGATGTACTGGTTGTTGTTGTAATTGCGACTGGTACTGTACTGTAACCTGCGCAGGGGCAGACAATTGCATTTTTTGATTTTGTGGACGTTGTAAAGATCTGTATTGATTCAAATTTGTCGCGCAAAGTGGTTGCGGTGATATTTTTGTTTGAGGTTGCTGTTGCTGTTGCTGTTGATGCTGCACTGTTTGAGGAATAGATTGTGGGATATCAGGTAATGGTTGATTAATGATAGATGTAGGATTAATCGAATGTTGTGGACGTGATTGTTCTCGTGCTGGCAGTGCAGTAGAAGTTACCGAGATATGTTGCTGCTGATAATTTGATGTTTCGATGCTATAAACGGCGGATGGTGGCAAAATATGCGTTGTGTGCGGATGTTGTGGTTGTAGTGGTTGCAACTGCATTTTCTGTTGTTGAAGTTGTATTTGTTGTTGCTGTTGAGGCTGCTGTTGATGTTGCTGTTGCATTAACTGCTGCTCCTTTGCATATATGCTGCCTACACCGGTTGTGCCTGGTATTTCAGTAAATGTATTCGGTATTTTTGGTTTAGGAGGTGGGACCGGTGCAGGAGGTGGCAAAGCTTGTGGCTGTGATTGCTGTTGTTGAGGTGGTATCACATCAGCTGGATATGATTGTGGAATACAATCTGGCTGTTGGCAGTAGTCTTTTGATACAGTTGCAATTGATGGAGTTTTGGCGCTGCGTAAATT